TCAGAATTTTTTTACATTTTATTTAATATTGCATTGCTAAATTCTTAAGGCTCTCTTTCTCCCTCCCTCTCTCTCTCTCTCTCTCTCTCTTTTCTCTTCATGTTAGGTTTTCAACCCAGGGCCTTGTACATGCTAGGCAAGTGTTCTACCAGTGAACTACATCCTTAGGCATTTTAAAATTTTATTTTAAAGAAGGGTCTTGCTAACCTGCCCGGGCTTGCCTTGAATTTTTGATCCTCCTGTCTCAGCCTCCTCCTAAGAAGCTGAATTATAGGCATGCTCCACCCACTAGGTGTTGTGTTTTTTATAGGGAGTTTTTTTAATGATCATATGCCATTATTCCTGCCCTATCATAATATGTTCATTCGAGCTGGACACACCTTTTACCTCAAATTGTGATGATGGGGAACCACCTATGACCCTGTCGCAGCCAAGCAGAGAAGGAATTTTGACCTCAGGTGTTCTGAGTCTTCAGGGCTGCCTCCCCATGAAACAATTTTCCCAACTTTGTAAGGGATCTCTAGAGTTTACTCTAAATAAGCAACTCCTTGCTTTGTTCTCGAGTTCTGGCCTCCCTACCCACAGGAAAGCTCTCTCCTTGGGTCTTCTGGGTCCCCTCCTCGCTTGCCACGCCTTCCTGAGGCCACTCTTGCTGACTGTCTGAAGCTGTCACACCCGGGAGATCTCTGTCCTGATTGTGAGGATTCCAACATCCAGACTTCCAAATATCGGGGTTTTTTTAACAGACATTTCATAGAAAGACTACCCAGGGACACAGTGACAAAGACAGAAATGGGCCTCCTTGTGAATGGGTGCCTCCATTTATGATGGGAACTGCAAGGCAGGGAGAAGCCTAAGGTGGGGGAAGGGGCCAGTGGCCTTTCTTCTGTTTCCTGGGAAAAGGATCAGCTGAGTGGGCCAGGCAGTGCGCACCCAGGTGGGCAGGCGGGGGTCCTCATCAGAGTCTCGGCTGAAGGGAACCGTGAAGCTGGTCCACTTAGAGTGTATACTGACTCATGAGGAGATAAACAGGGACCCAAAACATCAGCTGTTGAACCCCAAGGAAGACAGAGGTGAGGAGTGGTGCCCAGGCTTCTGCTACTAGATCTTCCCACCTGATGCTCTGGGCCTCCTGTCTTGGCAAGTGAGCACCTGTCTGGTGACAGGTAGGCCCTGTTATGGTGTATTTTAACAACAGAGATGAAGTCTACAATATTACTAATGAAACTGACTATGTTTTGCCATATACAAATAACTTTCTCTTTTTTTCATATTCTCTCAATTACCCTTCATGATAACCAGAGATAGCACCTTTCTACTAGCTGGAAAGCTGGAACTTTCCCCAGTCTCTCTGCCTGCCACCCTTCCCTGCACCAAATTCTCCCCAGCCAAGGTCATATTTCGTTCAGACATGACCATGACCCTGTGCGGATCACTTCCCTTTGTACTGCTTAATTGGTCAGAGGCAGTCACAGAGATGGACACATATTACTTCTTACCTCTCAAATGAAGAAATTTCCCCCTACACTGGCTGCTAAGCAAATGAACAGACCTTATTCCTATGTGTTCACCAAAAAATGTTTGTCTTTGAAAGATTGCCTTAAAATAGGCAGCCACCTCTGAAGGCTCTCAGCCTGTGCGTGAGAAGGTGTGTGGAAGTGCTCCATCCTGCGTCACTTACACACAGCTCCCTGTGCGTGTTCTGTCCATAGAACGTAGCCCTACCTGGCCTTGAGCTGATTAACTAGTGTGCCTGATGAGCAAATGGTCCCCAAGTAGCACTGTGTCACCTTCAACTGTTCTTTACTTTCCCTGACTATTGAGGCCTCAGAAGTAAAACTTAAATAAGGACTAAAGAGGCAAAGGGAGCAATTATGAAGAGAGATAAAAATATGCAAGGCATAGAGCCAGCTCCTGGGCAAACTTTTCCAGGAACTCCTCCAGTTCTGGGTTCACAAAACCCAGCAGACATTTGCTTCTGCTACCTGTGATTGAGTCCTCTGTCCCCACCCTCTTCAGAGGCTGTTGGTAAAGCATGTATTCAGAGGTCTCTCAGTGGACTCCAAGTCTCCAGCTGGCACAGGAGAAGCATTGAACCTGGTAGCTTTTGTTGGCCAATGCTGCGCTTCCAGTAACTTTTCAGGATGAAAACAAACAACACACACAAAAAAAACAAGTGGAAATGTGTATGTGTACATGTGTGTGTGTTTGAAAACAAGTACAGTATTTAAATATGTACACATGGCCCTTTTCTTTGACCTCTTCACACAGACACACACACACACACACATACAACTGTACAAATACATAAATGCCCCTGCAGAGTTGGGTATGGCAGCACACCCCTAGGAGGCTGAGACAGGCAGATTGCAAGTTCGAGCAGAGCTAGAGTAGCTTAATGACTCAGCAAGACCTTGTCTCAAAATAAAGAATAAAAAGGGCTGAGGATATAGTTTAGTGTGAAGACCCCAGATTCAACCCCTAGTACCACAGGTCAATAAAAACAAGACAAACAAGAAAAGCCTATCCGTGGGACTGGGAACAAAAATATATACAGAGATGCAGCCACACCAGAAATCAAAGACTCGTGCTCATTCATGGGTATACTCAGCCCCACTTTCTCACGGCAAGGTTAGATATCAAATCATCGACCCTTTTACTGCCAGACCTGTTCTTCACAAAGCTCATGACTGCTAGCCACAGAATCCAAGGGCCAAAGCCTTGTTTGCTGAGATGCTGTCAAGTGAGGGGACCCCGTGAGGGGCTGATGTCTAATGGAGGAAAGAGATGAAGAAACAGTCACACGTCGACACGCAAAGCGCCTTGGCAGGTGTGAGCATGGGAGATGGGTCCATTTCTCCTCCTGAACTCTGGGGAGGTGGCAGTTCTCTCCTTCCTTTGCTGGGGGAAATGCAGTCCCTTGGGAGTCTGCTTCATTCGCACAGGTGGGCTGGGAGCCACGCTGTCCTCTGCCTGTGTCTCCATGAAGACAGCTCTGCTAGTCTTAGGCTCCAGCTTGTCCGCTCAGTTACCTTCTCCTGCTCGTTCTTCAGGTGCATCTGGAGGGAAGTTGTGAAAGGCAGAGGCAGCTGTGGGTGGACAGGAGGAGGCCATGCTACACCAGCCAGGGAAGGGGCACTTGGTGAGTAAATGTAGGGGTTGCAGGCAGAGACAGCCACAAACTGACCCTGGGAAAAAGCAAGCTTGGGGTTGGGGGGTAGGGGAAAGCAGTCACAGCAGAGCTGAGGAAGGAGAAGGATCCTCCTCCGGCTCCTCTGGTCTTGGCCAAGGTCAAGCCTCCAACAGCCCATGAAGAGGAAGCACCTCAAAGCCCAACCCAGGAGTCTAAGCATCAGTCATGCCATGCTGGGACCAAAACGCCCAGTTCATCCCAGACCTCTGAGGGATACCTCAGGCTGCCACAGCATCTGGCAAAAATGATTCCCAAGCTACAAAGCTCTGGGATCCCTGTGGCCCCACAGTGTTCACAGAGTCACAGGCTATGAGTGTTCAGAGGTCACCTCGCTGAGCTCTTCACTCCACAGGTGACGAGACTGAGGCCTGAGCATGAAAGTCACTTGCTCAGAGTCCCACACATTGGGGGGGAATGAGGGTGGCTCCAGGATTGGAGAAGAAGGGTAGTGATGTTATCGGATGGGGGGATTAGGGACCAGCAGTGTTTCCCAAGTCCTCATCTGTCCTGATCAGTGAACTGGTCAGGACAATTGGTGGATGTGAAAGATTCCATTTATTTTAGGGTAGAAATAAGAAAAAGGACAAGAAGCACAAAGGAAGTGCTCAGGGAGAAAAGGGTGCCTTGAAAGGAAAAGAGAAGATGCTTCTGCATGCACAGGGGCTGCTCTGGGAGCAAGAGGTCACAAGTCAGATGCTGCCGTCTTTCTGCATCTTAGTAGCTGATCCAGGAGGCTCCACTTCGTCCCAAGCAGGAAGACTGATACCAGGTGCCAGGTTCCTGTGTTTTCATGTCAGAAGATTGGTACTGGGTACAGCGCTCAGCTTGACCCCCCATCAGGCTTGGGTGCTGCTGTTCTGTGTCTGTGGTTAATAAGACTTCTCATTTGTAACCGACTGCTCCAGCCACGTTGCCACACCCAGCCTCCTGCTACTGGGAGACCCTCACAAGTTAGAGGATTTAAGAAAGACCCAGGGATGGGAAGTGCTCATATGTGGTCAGACAGCAAGTCCCAGGGAGCCAATCCATAGCACAGGAGACGTGGACCAAAGAATTAAGCACCTTGCCAGGAATGTTGGCATATGCCTGTAATCCCAGCACTCGGGAGATTGAAGCAAGAGGATTGCTGTGAGTTCGAGGTCAACCTGGGCTATAAAGTAAGTTCAACCCCTCACTGAACTACATAGCAAGGCCCTGCCCAGAAAGAATTAAGCATCTTGATGAAGGTGGGGTGGGTGGGTGAGATGGAGGCAGACAAGTGCAGCTGGCCTAGCAGTTGCTTCGGTTTTCTGTTTTGTGTCTTGGTCCTTCAAGCTGCTGAGAGCAACCTGCAAATACTATGAAGAAAAGAAGAAATTCTCAGGTCTCATGCTGAGGATTTCTGGCATAACCACTTGAGGAGGCTCATGATGGCGGCAGGGAAGCAGGACGCTGAGGGAATGGGTTTGCAACGCCCCCTGTACTGTGTCTCCCAGCAGCCACCTGCTCACCCCAGGGATGGGTGTCCGGGAGCTCTGAGGAGCAAGAGATAAGTGGGGGCAAGGCTGGGTCTCAGGACCTCACAAAGGGGCACTGAAGGGGCAGGACAGGTGTATGCATCCACAGGCCGGCACAGAGGTGCATCGCTTACCTTGACACCAGGGCCCCATCGAGCTGTGGCCGCCAGATGAACAGCACCGTTCTGTGGTGGCAGACATGAGGAAGGTGAGCCAGGCTGGCTTCGTGTGTGAGAAAAAGAAGACCTGAAGAAGAAGGGGTGGTGTCAACGCTTGGGCCTTCTTACCCTGAATTCTTCTTCTGGAGCTCAGCTGATATCTTCTAGGTGCACCAGGTGACTTTGCCCATTTTATTGAAGGAGAGACTCAAATGAAAGGAGGGCAACGACAGTACACATACGTTTTGCATGAACTATTTGTATGTGCCAGTGTGTGTATCAAAAATCATTTAAAAACTGCATAATGGATGCAAGTTATGGTCCTATTATCTTCATTTTACAAATGGAGAAATTGAGGCGCCAAAAGGTTAAGTAACATGCCCAAAGACACACTCCTAGTAGGTAGCCAGATGGTACTGTTAGCATCCTGGTTTCAGAGACCATGCTCTGCGCAGTATCCTGTCCTTTCTGGGAAGAAAATGCTCAGCAAGAGGCTGATCAGACAAGGCCCCTGCTTTCATTGCTACCGCACCACTGCGATCCTGATCCAGCCCCTGGGTCCTGCGAGCCCTCTGACTCACAAGCAGGGTTCCTTCCCCTCGTAGACACATGAAGATATCTTTTGCTGTCTGATGACCCTTGCCACACAATAGGGCTTTTACAGTGTGTTCAGTTTTCCATTTTAACTTCATCCATAACCCGGTTCCTGGTAGAGTTAATGAGGACATATGTACAGGTCCTGGGACCAAACCTGGGGTTCCCTGGGAGGCTGTGGCAGTGAGATGCTACCCTAGTGCCACAGCAGCCTCCAGGGCCAGGCTCTGGGACGGAGGCCATGGAAGAGTTTTTCACCTGGCGAGTCTAACACTGCCCCAAACTCGGCTGCCCTGCCGGTGGGTGAGGATCTTACTTGGCCTGGTCCTGCAGGAGCCTATGGGAAGCGCTACTGGTGCACGCCCGCCACCTGCTGGTCACGTAGGGGAAGTTCACTCAGGCTGTGGTCTCTCCACCTATCGATCCGATTAAGCTCTGGCTGTTCCCACAATGGCTACTTTTCCTTAGGCTGCTCCCCAGTAAGCCTGAAGCTCCTGGCGCAATCACAAAAGAACTCTCCAAATACGTCCAGCCCCATCCTGAGCCCAGGAGGATCTCGTTTGTTGTCCATGAGCTTGTGAATTTCAAACCTGCTCCCAGGGATGGCTGTGCTGGCCCATAAACCATCCTTCAAGTCATACTTAGCTCATCCCTCAGACTCCACATCAGTGCCTGGGGACCTGTCAGACCTCAGCTCTTTGATGTGAGGAAGCCTTGTGTTCCGCTTGCAGCTGAAACAGAACAGAACAATAACAAAGCAGTTACGGCTCATGCGTGCCAATCAGTACTAAACATACAGTATCAACTTGCGTCATCAAACTCAGCCTCCTCTCCAGTTTCCATTCACATGGTAGGAATGGTTACTCCCATTTCATGGATAAGAACATAGAGGCCCAGGAATTCTAAGTACTTCATGGCAAGTAACTGGAGAGCTAAGATCCCAAGGCAGGTCTGAAGCTGTCCAACGCCAAAGCCCACGCCTATCCAGCCAGCTCAGCGATTCCCATCAGAAGGCTCTGGGGAGCCACATTGCAGTGCTTCTCACCCATGCCACTCCTCATCCCGGGCTCACTCCAGTGGGGTCCGCAGCTGGCAAGAGCAGCTACTGTCACCAGTGCAGGGACCATGAACTACAAGGGAAGGAGCTGCTTATAAAGCCCGCCCCACCGCAGCGAGGACTGACGCCCAGGGCCTGTGCCGCTGACGTCAAACTCAATCACGCTCTGGACACTGCCCCACTCTCCAAGCCCAGGGACTCTTGGTGAGCATACCAGCCACATCAACCTTCATGGCTGGATTGGAGGCTGGGATCCGCACACAACTTGTTGGTTTCTGATTATTTTTTTTAATGCAGACAAATACAGACTACAAACATGGCGCACTCTCGGTACCTCCAATGGGTACGGCCCTAAGGTGCTGAGGGGTTGGGGTGAACTACTCATGACTCCCAGGGAGCTCAGAGCCTCACTGAGGATGTGGAAAGTCATCCTAACCTTTAAAGTTGGTGCCACGGAAGAACAGAAAGTGTTCCGGAAGTCAGCAGAGACTGAAGAGCAAAGAGGCCTTCAGCAAACAGAGGGAAGGGATGGTTCCACAGCAGGTGGAGAAGGCATGGTGCTTGGAGCTGGCTCCTTAGTTCCTGAGCTAGTGAGGAGCCCAGGGGACTGGGTGGCAGTTCCTACCCCAGGGAACAAGAGAGAGGGTTATAAGGGTTAACTGGCCCTTGGAGGCTGTTGTAAGGAGCTTGGATGTCATCATCTGTTGGTCTTTGGACAAGAGTGTGTTGAATAATATCAAGTACTTCTCCAGGACATCAGTCACAGTGGACTTGAGGAGAGATGTTCCGCCCCAGGCTGAGAGTGGAAGCCTGTAACAAGAACTAGACAGATCTTAGGAGGGAAACAGCCTGGCCTCGGGGTTTGCAAAGATCTGACACTGACCTGAATCTGAAGGATATGCAGGCGTGGGAGGAGGCAGGGAGGAGGGCAGCTCTGGGAGGAACATGCTGTGAGCCCAGACCTGGGGCCTAGGGGTATAGCCCGCAGAGGCTGGAGGATGTGGGCAGTGGTGTTTGGTGAGAGCCCCGGGCCAGTGGGAACTGTGGAGAGCTCCGGTGCCACTGAGTTATGTCACCCCCTGTGGCTGGATCAGTGCTGTTGTGAAGGTCCCATGAGCACATCCTCCTGAAGCACTTGGAGCAGTAGCTTTCCTGCCGCCTGCTGGTCCCCGGAGCGCCCCAGCTGCTGCCTGCCTACACCCAGCTGTTTATACCCATCAGCCCTCATGCCACAATGTGAGCAGCCTGGCACAAAACCCATGCTCATTTTCTGCTGGCTGAGTGACTGCTCAGTGCCTCAGGAGGAACCCGGGTGTAGGGGCTGGGGGAGCTAGGCAGAGGGTCACAGAGCCCGGAAGACAATGGGGTGCAGAGTTCTGGGTGTGAGGAATAATGCACTCCACTCTCTCCTTCTGCTGTGCTGACCTCTGCTCTTCCATGAAGGAGATGCAGAATGGACATTACTAAGGCGAATGGGATAGCCGAAGAGGGACCAGAGTCCCTGCTCCAGCTCAGACCCCTCCAAGGCCTCCAAGCTTTCTGAGTCACAAGCTCATGGTTTTGTCTACCCTGGGCACTCCAAGAAGGAACAGACTCCTCACCAGCCTTACCTCATGGAGCATACAGCTTGGGAAACACCAAGCCAAGCTGTGGGGAGGAAGGGGTCCCGCTGCCTCTGAGGGTGCCATGGAGATGAAACGAGAGCCCATCAGCACCTGGAGAAGACGGATGAGGAGACTTCAGAGAAGCCAAGGTAAGGATGACAGCCAGCTGCTCCCCACCACCCACGCCCTCCCCTCACCCAGCTCCAAGGCCTGCTCATCCCCACGGCTCATCCCCGAAAGGCCGACATCAAGGCTGGGCTGATGGACAAGTGACATTCCCACTGCTGGACACCATTGCCTACCCCTGAAAGCCTGGTGCATATTCCTGGACTTCCATGGTCCTGGCCATCAGGAGCACTGATACACAGAAGCAGGATTTCTACCCCCACCACTGCTTCCCTCTGGGGTCTAAGAAACCCGGCTTCCTCAGTGCCCCTAGCACAAGCACTAGCCTTGCTGCCTCCCGCCATTCTTGCCTTTGGACGTTGGCTGAGTGCTCGCGTGCACCTTTGGGAGACTCCATGGGCCATCCTCAGTGTGGGCACTTGGGATTCCCAGCCCCCGTGGCCCGCGGGTTGCCGGGACCGGAGACAGGGCTGTGGGGGCTGTGCATCATGCAGGTGATCTCCTGCATCCCCTTTCCTCCCCTCTCTCCTTCTGCACAGCCAGCTCTTTCTGAGCACACCGGCTTCCCCCGCCCGCCACCGAGCCCAGCCACCTCCAGTCCTCCAGTGAGTCACTCACCCCTGGGGCTCCTCCTGGGCTCTTCCGCACGGCCTGCTGGTGACGAGCTGAGCTGGCCATTGCTGGTCAGTGGTGGCTCTCTGGGAAGGCTCCCCCGGCTCCAGGCCCAGGGCTGACCTAGGGCAGTCCTTCCCTCCAGGAAGCTCTCTACTCCTGTGCTCTGTGCTCAGATCTGCAGTGAGCCCCGCCCTCCACACACACCCACACACACAGTGACCCGAGACGGAGGCCGATGTTCACATCCTCCCTGCACTGGGCACCTCACCATTCTCACAGCCCAAGGGACAGAGAGAGCAAGACTCTTCTGAGGCAGGAGGAGGGAGGACACTCGCAGGACAAGGGTGCTGGAGTCATCTCCAAGAGGGCCAAGGGAAACTCAGGTGCCAGTGCCATGGTGAGGGGAGAGATGCACAGCTCCTTCCCCTAGTGTCCCGTGACCTGTGGCCCACACTCTGCCCTCACAGCACAAGGCTGCTATCAGAGAAGCAGGCAGGCGAGGCAGGGGGCAGCTCAGGCCTCTCCCATTCCTCCAGCTCAGGCCTCGCCCTCTTGTCTCAGTGCAAGTCCTCCTCCTTCTGCCCTCTGTCCCGCACAGCTGAGTTAAGTCTCTCTATGTCTCTGCTTCTCCCTCTCTCTCCCTCTCTCTCTCCCTCTCCATTCTTTCTTCTTTTCCTTTAGTTTGTTTTGGTAGTGAGGATGGAACCCAGGGCCTTCACCCCGAGCTACATCCCCAGCCCTTTTTTATCTTTAAGACTGAGTCTCCCTAAGTTGGTCAATTTCCCAGGCTGGCCTTGAACTTGCGATCTTCCTGCCTCGGGCTCCAAGAGCTCAGGGATTACAGACACGAGCTGCCTCACCTGCTTCATTGGCTTTAACCTGCTGAATCTCCACACTTTAGCTCTCCACTCACACAGAGTCTAAAGGAGTATTGGAGTAGCAGGGAGCCCCAGACAGGCAATGCTTTTCCTGCCATCCCCCTCTGTCAACCTAGCATGAAGAGCTTCAAATGGCCGTTTGCCCAAATAACTTCCCTTTCCCCTCCTTCTAAGATATGAGGGGAAAGAACCAAATCTAGATCCAGATTGCTGAACGGAGTCTGGGCAGTCTGTGCCATAGGTCTCATTTCAGCGCCCAAAGGGCAGCTCCTGGATCCAGACTCTTTAGAATCCTCTGCCTCATTTCTCCTTCTGACAAGATGGCACACCATGGTCTGTGCAGACTTGTAAAAGTCCAAGTATACTTAAACCCTACATTGTCTGCTCAGTGCCAAGAGGATTAAGAGCCGTGAAGACCCAGCAAAAGTAAAAGGTGCTTAGGACACGGTGGCCCACGCACACTTGGTGTTGTGTACACCCATTTGTACTCGTGCCTGCACACTCTCACCCTGCTTTGACACTGTGTAGGAAAGGTGCCTGTTAGAGTCAGAAGACAAGGCCTTGGTCTCATTCTCCAACAGAATCAAGTCAGAGCTATTCTCGCGGGACTCCCAGGGTGCCGTTGCTCCAGCAGACCCTCCCTGTGCAAGATCTACGCGCTCTTGGATACACCCGTCCCCCTCAACTCTCCGGGGTTCCCCCTCCACTGCGTGCTCCACGTCAGCTGCGTCCTCAGCCTCCAAGGCCCCTCTGCGCGTTCCTCCTCAATCCCAAGGCAGACACTGTCTGTACCGAGGACTTCAGGCTGAGAGTGTGATCTTCCAAAGCCAGCTGCACACTCAGGGAAAAAGGACCCCACACTCCACTCATCAGACTGGTGGGGCAGCAGCAAGCTACAGGAGTCGACGCGTGAGGACTGAACTCTCCAGCTCATGTTTCAGCTGTCTCCACCCTCCAGCTCCTGGGCAGGACCTGACACTATGATGCCCATGACTTGGTCAGTGCCTGGAAGGCTGGTCAGTCATAAGAGTGGAGCTGTAAGCTTCAGACAAGATGACTGCTGCCTGGGGATCGAGTGTCCTTTCCCAGAGCTCAGCCAGCCATCTGCTGTAAGGGACCCATCACTCAGCACCCACTAACCCCAATCCAATGTCTTTTGGGCTTAGAGAGCTGTTTGCCCATCAGCCTGTATAACTGTAAAGTGAGGTTGTGATCAGATGCCACCATAGAGTCTGCCTTCCCTGAGCAAAGCAATAAAAGGCACAAGAAACACATACGCACACACGAATGCGCACATACACGCACCCACACACCTTGCTCAACCCTCAGGATCACAGGACTCTGGCTGCAGCTTGTGGGAAATTCTTTCTGCCACCCTGGGGTCCTGAGGTGAGAAGGAACCCCTTGTGAGGGCCACTGGCTGGAAGCTGCAGGTGCAAAGCCCTGCACTACAAGGAGCAGTGCACACAGATGCCCACAACCTACCGACAGCTATTGCTTATTAGGTCCGGTCTGTGCACCGAGGACCAGTCTCCACTCACACACCCCAGTGCCTCTCGTCCTCAAGAAAACACAGCATACTGACACCTCCTCTACCATGAGGAAACTGAGGTGCAGAAACACTGTGAATAAGTAGCTGGGCCAGAAGTCGGGAGAGTGGTCAGCTCCCTATACTCATTTGAACAGAAGAAACTAACTCTCTCTCTCTCTCTCTCTCTCCTTCTCTCTCTCTCTCTCTCTGGAGAGTCATCCCAGGGCCTTTACACTGAGCTACATCTATACATCCCTGACCCTTTTTATTTTGAGACAGGATCTTGCTCAGTTTCCCAGATTGGGCTAGGGCTTGCCATCTTCCTGGCTCAGCCTCCCGGACTGCTCAAATTACAGATGAGACACACTAAGCCTGGCTTTGTTTCATTATTGTTCTAAATTGCTTCAAAGTTTTTAGAGAGCAACACGGTTATCAAATAGAGTAAAATTTTAGAGAGTAGCGCGGTTATCCAATAAACAGACACCTATGTGTACGAACATCTTTCGCACGTCCTAAGTAGAGCAGATTTCAGGCGCAACTCTGGGCAGCTATTTCCTAACCCGAGGAACTCACTCCTAAGTAGAATCTTTCAGAAAACCAGGTGAGACGAATGAGTGCGCGCGTGCACACATATTTATTTATTTATTTGTTTATTTATTTATTTAGGCGGGGAGGGGTGGGGTTCTGGAACCGGGAATCAAACTCAGGACCTCGCGCTTGCCAGGCAGGCGCTGTACCGCTGAGCTAAATCCCCAGCCCCTGCACATGTATATTTAACGCATTTTTCTCTAAATACCATTAAGTATTTATGTCTCTTCCTTGATCAGTCCTAGATGCCCCAATCACACCGTTTCTGTGTTCCTACTTTGCTCTCCTCTCCCTTTTCCTTGAGAAGCGGCAGGATTGGGCAGTCGGGGAGGAGCGAGCCAGATAGGAGTCCCGGAGAGGAGCTGGAAGCCCTGCTGGGGCGGAGAGGGGTGCGAGCAGAGCCCTGGGCCGCTGAGGAGCTGAGGAGGAGGAGAGGCTGCGGGACATGACTGAGGGGCTCGGGCCGTGAGCCAGACATCCTGCGCATCCCCAGGGCCTCACCTCACTACCTGCTGGGAGGAGGCAGCCAGAGTCTCTGAGGGTCAAAACTGCCGAAGGGAAGGCTCATCCCTGGCCTCATTTATTCCTTTGCCCTTGGGCTCCCAGCCCTTGATGCCCCGCGGAGCACTGCACCCTGTGGTCTGGCAGCCTCCCCTCCCAGTCCTGTCTATGCTGGGCATAGACAGCAGACTGGGACCTCGACTCACAGGGGCCAGGCCATGTCCTGCCAGCCTCAGGATGCCACAGTGGGGATCTGCACGGTGCAGGCCATCACTAGCCAGAACAACAGAATCATTCATGTCATTAACTGCAGGCGTCCGCGGCGATGTGCAGGAGGCCATTATCAGCAGCACCTGTACCTTCCAGGAAAGCGTGGTCAGCTGATCTTCAGCAGAGCTGAAGATTGAAACCACTGCTGGCTTTCAACTCCCGAGGGAACCCGCTCTGCTTGGACAGAGCTAGGGACAGGAGAGGCATACAGAGAATCAGATGGGCCAGCTGTGCTTCTGGCACCGTGGTCCCCTGGATGGCCCTGACATTTCTCTCCCACTTGGTAGAACAATGTTCAAACCCCACTATCCTCCTCCTCTGCCTCACTACAGATAAGATCTTCTGAGGTCTGTCATAGTAAACATCCTAAAAACACAAGGTTTGTCACAGTAGCCTCTCCATCAGGAAGTGGAGGAACCTATTTATTGTCTATAGGTTTCAGATGCAGCTCAGACTAGTGCCAGAATGCTCTATGAATGCGGCAATACTCACCAGGATAAACAAAACCTAGTGCAGAGTATTTCTAGCCCATAAAAAGGAACGAAGTACTGATACATGCTGCATGAATGAACACTGAAAACACTACGGTAAATGAAGGAATCCAGACATTCAAAAGGTCACATGTTGTAAGATTCTATTTATATAAAATGCCTGAATGAAGCAGATAGAGAGAGATAAAGAGGAGACCAGTAGTTTCTAGGGCTGGAGGGCAAAAAAAGGGAGGAACTTGGGAACCACTGCTCATGAGCATGAGGCGATGGAAACATTCTAGCATCAGAGTGACAATGGTCACATCACTGTGAATATACCAAAGCCACCAAGTCACACACTCTGCAAGGTGAATTTTTATGATTCATGAGTTGAAACCATCTTCCTTGAACTGCAGGCAGAGGAGAGGGTGAGATCTGCCAAGACCTGGAGCTGCGGAGCCAGGAAAACTCTCTCTTCATTGGCACCAGACTTGGCAGTGCAGTCCTGGGAATGGGGTTGACACTGAGGCCCAAAGCCAGGGTCCTTACAGGAAGCTGTCTGGGCCAACTTGTTACAAAACCAGCACTCTTCGCAAGTTAGGACTGCAAAGAATATGCACATTCTTTCCAACACTGCCTTTGTTGTCTGGATCACCAATTGGATGGATTAGCGCCATTCTCAATGGCTCTGCTCCCCCTAGCCTGTTCTAATCCACAAAAGAAAGGAAGGCTCTGGGGCTTAAGTACATGTCAACGTGGAGTGGCAGGTTTCCTCAGCGAGCTGGACTGTGAACATGTCCAGTGAAACAGTTCTTTATTTCTCACTCATTCTCTTATCTCCAAATCCAGTCATCCTACCTAATAAATCACTTGGCCAGAGTGAGGATTTTTTTTTTTTTTGAAGCATTGGTTCCTACACCCACTTTTGTAAATTTTCACATATTACATAGATGCTATTTAAGTGTTCTGAGATCCTACTACTCTTATTCTCAAGGCATGTTGAATGAGTGCCCCTTTGATTCTGTATTTCCATCTAAATAGTAAGGAGAAACACTCAACTGTTAGAATTCTTGGGGAATATTACTTTTTTTCTCCATTTCTGTCTTTTCATAGCTGAGAAACCATTCTGACTGTTACAATTTTCTCCTCATTTGTTCAATTTGTTCTTGTTTAAAATTTTACTGTTTATTGCACTTAATTGGGAAGCAAAGAGATCAAGAAAGCCACTTTATTATCTCTGCATAGTCCTCAAGTCCAATTGGGTAAAGGGGGATTTCAGCCTCATGCAACCAATCTTGGGGTTGTCTGTGGACTTGGGGTCCACGGCACTGGCTGGTGTGAAAGGGGAGGGGCCAGGACAACGGGGCGCTGGGTTCCGGTGCCAGCTCTGTTCTTGTGTACCCAGTAATTCTGGGAAGGTCTTTTTTCTGGGTCTCAGTGTCTCTG